GGACCCGGAGGACCCGGAGGTTTGTTTTTTTTTTGGTAAATCGTGTATTTTGGAAATTATATTTAGATACAAATTTCTGAGTAATGAAATATGCATAATATTTTTCGATCTTAGCGACGTAATAATAAGAAAATATGAACTGATGTTTTTCACAAAAGAAAGAACTTTAAAAAAAAAAGGGAAAAAATAACGAAATAACAAATCGACAAAAAATTAAAAATAAAGAAAGCAATGTTCTGGAATCGAAAAAAAAGTAAAAAAATAAATGTGTAAATGATCGTGACGCGAACCACGGCCGTCTATTTTAGGGCCGTGAAACTTTGTACCCCTTTTTACGAACATTGCGCGGACGGAGGAGTATGAAATTTCCCACACTTATAGCTTGTGTAGAAAAGTAAAGTGTAAAGCAGAATGCTAATTTTTAAAAAAAATTATACATTAAAACACATTAAATCAATTAAAAAAAAAATTACCCTACACAACCTAACATTACCATACATAATTATGGACGAATTTCGACCAAGGGGCGAGTGGACTAGTTAGAATGTATCTTGAAGTAATTTATGCAAAAAAACTTTATGATGCAGCCATGGCAAAAAGTTGCCTTTGTAATCTATTCAAAATCAACTGAAAAATTCCCGACTTCTCCATGTCCAACACGACGGAACTCGAAAATTGTTATACTATAAATGGCATTCAAGATCTGTTTACTGTAAATGACAAACTAAATAAAACTTTAAGGTAACTTGAATTGGCAGTTTTTAAAGAAATTGAAATCCAATTTCTCAATAATTCTATTCTGTTTCTCATGACCTGTTGCTGATGGCACCACAGAAGTTTAGAAGTCGATAAAGATTAACTAAGGATGTCGTATGCCAGAACTAATGTGAATGCAAAAATTAAGCAGTTTGCAAATTGTTGGTTGTGGTGTATTGAACACAATACTTATATGGTAATAGCTCACGGTCTGCACTACGAGACCCTCGTTGAAATTACGATTTTATTGTTTTATTTTATTTTACGGTGGTAGGCCCACGCAGCAGCCTTGCCTGTTGCACGAATGGGCAGGCTCGTCATGGTATAAAGTGGAAATATAATACTTTCGCGTTACGTCTGGTGAGTGACGTAGCCGGAGCCCAATTTTCAAAAGGTTGTCAACGCATCTGGAAACCTCGGGTGTAGCAGATGTCCATGGGCGGCGGTATTCATTTAACATCAGGTGAACTGTCTGTTCGCTTTGCAATTTTTCACATAAAATAAAAATTATTGTGTCATTATTTGTAATAACGATTCTATATTATACTAGCTGCTGCCCGCGATTACGTCTGCGTAGAGGGGTGAAAATTTAGGGTTGTATGTATTTTTGTATGCTGTATCATAAAAAAAATGAAAAGAAAAAAATTTATATAAAAAAAATTAGGGGTGGACCACCCTTAACATTTAGGGGGATGAAAATTAGATGTTGTCCGATTCTCTACCCTGGCCGATATGCAACAAAATTAGACGTAAATCGGTAGAGCCGTTTCGGAGAAGTTCAACTACAAACACCATCACACGAGAATTTTATATATTAGATTATATTAATCTATATATTATGTTCATTTTATTCTTTAATAAAATATTGCCCTTACAGTATGATAGCATTATACCGCGTTTTAAGAGCGTTTTATACACACAAATTTCTCGTCATAAACACCTGGCTCCGGAAAAATTATATTATCTATGGATTAGAAAAATAATTGTCCCATGCGGGAATCGTACCTTTTATCCCCGGTGACGAGCTAAAAGCTTAGCATTTTCTCGGCCAAGTCAGTTGCTATTAAGAATCATTATGACAAATGGATTTTGGTTAAAAGCTCCCTCATAGCTTTACATCCAGATTGCCGATGGACCATAAATTGTTGAGAGGCTTTCTATAAGTCACTGTCTATTAAACTCAGTTGTTTACATTAGAAAAACTAATGGATGGATTTAAAAATATGAGAATAGAATTAATGTACGCAAAATATTTACCAGCAACATTTTTTCAAAGTAATTGAAGTGAAATAACGTATAAGCTTATCTGAATCAAACAAAACTTAGACTTTGACAATAAGAAAACTTAATAAGAAATTCAGAACACTATTGCACTATTCGTGCTGAACAATTCTACTTACAGCCCTCTTCTCACGATTTGCGACAAGGAGTCTTTCATAATAATCAAATAATTAAACATTATTATTAAAACAAATAGTGGCACAAGTACCTAATCTACACTAAGACTCTTATTCGCTTCATTTACTGAATTCTGCCGCTCTGGAGTCGCCTGGACCAAACCGCCAAAGTTCAGAAGTAATGCCACTAATGTATCTACGAAAGTAGCGTCCCAAGCAAGAGCTTTGCCCCTTTTCAACGGGATTAAAGTCAACCCTTGGGGTCACTTGCCAACTTGAAGGAAAATGCAACACACCTCTGAAATTGAAAGAACGACTAATGTGAAACTGTTCTGTACTACATGTGTTAACGGTCGAGTTTAAAGCCGAGGTTAAACAAGAAAAGTCAAGCGCATGCGAGCGGCAGTTTTTGGATCTGCTTTTTAACCGACCTCAAAAAGGATTTCAAGGTTTCTCAATTCGACCATATTTGTTTTTGTGTGTCCTTGGTTCTCGATATGACTTTCGCCACTCGAAACACGAAAGCAAGTATCGCCTCATAAATTCTCTTCGGTGCCTGCGTGTGTAAGCAAATCGTATAATAATATCTGAACCAACACAATATAAAAATTGTACTCAGAGTAGTAAAATGTTATATTGCACAAATAGCACACGGAAGAATACCAGACCCGGAATAATAAAATCTTTACGAGTTATTTGTTTATTTTTTATTAATCTTAATTCACGCACAGGTTTAATCTTCCTCATCCTTTAAACGAGCAATTCTGTATATATATATAATCGGAATCTCGGAAACTGCTCCAGCGATTTTTATGAAATTTAGTATGTGCGTAAATTCCGGGGCGAAATATCGATCTAGCTAGGTTTTATTTTTAGAAAATAAAACCTAGCTAGATCGATATCTTTATCCCTGTTTTCAGGGAATGAAAAATATCAATTGAATATGACGGTAAATTTCGCCGCAAAAAAAAATTATAATCGCTCGGTCGGTAATCGGGCGGCCCCAGACGGCCGCGGTTCGTATCACGATCATTTACACACTTATTTTTTTACTTTTTTTTCTAAACCAGATCATTTTCTTTATATTTTATTTTTTTTATTTCCAAAATACATGATTTACCAAAAAAAAAGGTCCTCCAGGTACTATTGAGTTAATATAAGCATTTTTAAATCAAAATCAAAAATATATTTATTCAAATAGACGCTTGCGCGCTCTTATGAATCGTCAAATTTTACATCAAAGATTGTGTATATCTAAATGTATAGGTTCGTAAGGTACCACCGGTTCGGAAAGCAGTTTCTGTTGAGAAGAGACCGCCAAGAAACTCAACAGTTGCTCTTTTTCAAAAGTATCAATAATTTACGTAGGCCAACAGATCTTTGATATGTAATCAAAGTCAAAATGCATGCATAAAATTCAACAAGACTTTCACAGGAGACGTCTTCGGATATATATAGATTTACACTCAGTTCATTATTATCAACTTCCATTGCAAGTGAAACCATTGCGCTTAAGCTACTAATAAGTTATTGTATAGTTACGATTTTTTTATATCGGTACAGACACGGGCAGACTTAATATCGACTGTGGGATTTTATTATACATGCGCACACTTTGCCCCATGAACGACTTATTTACTTTTTGTAGACGAAACAATGGCGTAGTAAGTTTGTCCTTATTTCTAGTGTTTATTTTATGTCTGTCACTATTCTTTAGGTAATAATTAAGGTTATGACGTTTATACAAAACATTACAATAAATGTATTAAGAAGCAACAGTGAGTATATTAATCTCCTTGAAAAGATCTCTGAGTGAATTCCGGGCTCCGATATTGTAGATTGCTCGGATAGCTCTCTTTTGAAGAATAAATATAGAATTTATATCTGTTGCACTACCCCACAACAAAATGCCGTACGACAAGATGCTGTGAAAATAACTAAAGTAAACA